AAAAATTAAAAAGAACTTTTTATAACTATAGGACTTTATAAGGCAGGAGTGACAAAGGAAAACAAAATTGTGTTTAAAACAAAGTGGTGGGTGCCATCAGTCAATGACTTAAAAAGTCGATTTAATTTCTCTTTTCTCTTAAAACGCGAAAGCTATGTCAAGTCCAGTGTTTTAAAAACGGGTGCCTTTAATGTTTATTCGCAGGGAGATCTCAGAATGCCTTGTTTGTGTGTGCTTAGATACAATATAGAGACGTAGTTTGGGGGGAGGGGTCAGTGTTCCCGCGGCCCGTTCCCGCGGCCCCTTTCCGCTTTCCCAAGGCGGGCATCCCGTCTAGCGGCCAAGCCTTCGAGGCTGCTCCTGGCGGCTCACATGCTAGCCACCCACCATTGGCCCGGCGGCCGTCTGCAAGGTGCCCGGATGGACACCTTACCCATCAGGCAGTGCGTGCTATTCTAATTCCCTCGTCTCCTCAGCGCAGCTCATTTGGCGCTGGAACTCCTTGGGGCGGTAACCGCCGCAGCCGCCGCGCCGCCGCCGCCATCGCCGCCGCAGCCCTGTGAGTGGAGGTCACCCCGTGTTTTCGCGCTCCTCCCTTTCCGCTCTTCCTCCCCGCCTCCTGTCCCCCTCGGCCCCTCCTCCGTCTCTTCCTCCTCCTGCTCCGCCTCCTCCGCCTCTTCCTCCTGCTGCTCCCGCTCCTCCTCCTTCTCTGAGCTCCGGACGTCCTGCAGCGTTGTGGGTAAGCCTCCCAGCACCTCCCTGCCTCCGAGGCGAGGACAGCGGCCGCGGTGCGCTCTGGGGCTGGGGTTCCCGTGGCTGTGGAGAGTAGGGACCCCGTGGCGCGATGGCGCGTGGCCCACCATCTTGTTTCGGCCCCGGGGAGGGGGGTGCTTTCGGAAAGGTCGCCTGGGTGACGCGGGGCTGGCGCTGGCCGAGGTGACCTTGAGCGACCCCTCCAAGGCGAGGCCTCAACTGTGGGGGGGGGGGAGGGCTCGCAGGTCTCGAGAGCCCCTCCGTCTGTTTTGTTTGTTTGTTTTGGGGGGGTTGTACATCGGATGTCTCTTTTGTACGTTGGAGAGCTACGAGATCCTCCCAGCCGCTGGTCCCGGCCGCCTTGGGAAAGGCTGGTGGGCCCATCTGAACTTTCCAGCCTCGGGCTCCTCGAGGCCCTTCGCTTCTGCCCAACCCCTTTTCCTGGACGGCCAGGAGTTTTTCCGTGCCTATCCCCTTATTCTTCCCAAAGGGACTGCCCTCCTCAGCCACAGAAATCTTGCACTATTTAGTTATTGACTAGACTCTGGAGGATAAAAGCCCCGAGGGGAGAGACGTGGTCTTAGGCATGATTTTCCTGTCAGTGAGCTGTCCGGTTTTTTTTTTTTTTTTTTTTTCT